ATTAAATTAAGTAGATTAAAAAATAAATTAAATTAGTTATTTATCATAAATAGATGTTATTTTTCTTAAAATATTCTTACTAATTAATTTTATTAGCTAAAACTATCATTATTAGAAAGACTATTTTAAAAAAAATAGATAAATATGATAGACAAAATCAATTGAGATTTTACATTTAAAATCAAAATAAAAATTAAATAAGATCTTATATTAAAAATTAGAGATTGTATTAAGAAGAATTTTGTTAACCTATATAAAAATAGCCTTTTCAGTAGCTTTTCGGGATTTTCATTTCAACGCTAATGCATTGTCCGTCTGGGTTGTTTCTCCAAACTTAACTTGCCTTGTCATTGCAAAAAAAAAAAACACACGGGGAGAGAGAGAGTGTGTGTGTGTGTGGGAGAGAGGAGAGATCGCATGGAGAAATTTATTATTACTAGGCAGGAGTGTTCATGGGACGGGACGGGATGGGATCGGGACAAGCCCGACCCGATGAACAGAGACCGGACAGGACTTTTGTCCCGTGTCCCGTCCCGATTCTGTCCCAATGAACAAGAACGGCACAAGACTTTTGTCCCTTGTCTCGTTCTATCCTTTTCTTTCTTTTCTTCCTTTTAGGTTTTGGGCTTTATTTTTTTATTGGGTCTGTTTTAAATTTCTTCTTGACTTTTTTTGGGCCTAAGCCTACCGTAAAACGTATATCCATCCTCTAATTGAACCCCTGCACACTGAATGTTTCGAGTTAAATAAAAACTAATTAAACTGAGTAGAGTCCATTCCTGTTGAATTCCCTCCCCAGATCTTCATTTAAATAATTTCCTAATTGGTCCATTCTTTTGTTTTTTTTTTGGAACATGGAAGAATCGAATCAAATCAAATCAAAGTTCAAAGGAAACTACCAGGTCGAGCCCACGCTCACGGACTAATCAGAGCTGCGTCGGAGACGCGGGGTGACTGAGGAGGCAAACGTCGCAATCAGAGAATCAACAGAGCGAAGCCGTAGGAAGGAATTCAGAGCTGCCGGAGATTATTACTTGCACTTTCGATGATCATTTCTACAGAAAAATGCGCCTCTGGTGCTGATTATTATGAGTTTCGACGCGAAGGGGGAGAGTGACAAAACGAGAGTCTCGCAGAGAGATTAAGGAGGGCTTTCACGGTGATGAATGACTCAGATCAGAGCTGGCCCAAGAAAATGGCAGACCAACTACGATGTCGCGGCTGGGAGAGTCACGGGCTGGCGAGGAGGACTTCGGACAGTGACGAAATCTGGAGGCTGGAGAATTCACGAGAGGACGAGATCTGGACAGGAATGGCCGAATGGTATTAGAAAAAATAGGGCAGAGCTGGCGAGAAGGAGTCGCAGGAGTGAGGAGTGGGTCTGGAGACTGCCGAGAGGGAGATAGAAAAGGAATGGTAACAGGGCATCTGTAATTTTCTTTGTATTTTATTTATTTGCAAATCTTTTTTAATTATATATAACCCAGTCCCGTATAGTATTTTGTTCTGTCCTGGATTTGTCCCATCTCGAAATTTTTTTTCCCATCCCATCCTGTCCCAAGGTGATCGGGACCGGGACGGACCCATCGGAATGAGATAATTTAAACACCCCTATTACTAGCAACCACTACTTCCTCTGGTCTAAAATTTTAAATTTTGAATTTATTTAGTGCTTTTTATATGATCTTGTTTAAAGATTTCTAAACATTAAATGGGTTTTTATTAACTTTCTCTCTAATTAATTTTTTTTATTTTTTTCCTCATTTTTTCACATACTACATTCTTTTTTTAAAAAAAATCTCTTTACTAGTATTTTTTTTTTCTTTTTTACCCCTTTAGTATTGATAACTTTTTTAAAAACTATCTCCAACTTAAATCATGTAGATAGATAAACAAGGAATTCAATGATCTTTTCGACACTAAACCTTATTATTATTAACAAAGATAAAATTAAAAAGTAGTAATTAATGACTTGATTAATACCTTATATTTAGGAAAAAAATTTCTTCTAGATGTACCTTATAATGAGGACCAAAGGGAGTAATTGAGAAAAAAATGAGAAAACATTTTTTCTAGATGTACCTTATAGTTTTTAGCCAATCTTAATCGGTTAAAAAGATTTTATAAAAAAGACCGGAAGGATTATAAAATAATTGTTTATACTATTTTATGTGAATTAATATTGGCAAAAATAGCTCAGTTTTTGTAAAATAAAATTAGGATAAAAGTTAATTAATATAATGTAGTTTATAGTTTGATAGACTTTTCATAGAATTTTAATTTGACGTAAATATTTTTGAATGATATATTGAAAAGTCATGTAGAAGATCCAAATATTTTTGTCCAAGCTCTTGAGACTTTTTAACGTTATACCAAACAAGCTCTTTTTTTTTTTTTTAGTGCAATACAAAATCACTTCTTTATTGCTAATCCAAACTCCGCGAGCCAGGGCAACAATTATGATCAAATTAAGAGACAGGGCTAATCCAAACTCTGAATGAAAGTTTTTTTTTTTTAATTGTTTCTAGCTTAGCACCCCCAAGATGAATTGGTGCGTAGTGTTTGCGATAATTAAGAATTTCTCAACCTTTTCACGGGCCAAAAGTAAAATACCGAACAGGACTGAGGAGTGAGGACGACTACTCATCGCAGGCATAAACATGGCCTTGGCTATTGTGAAATTGTGATCCATTAAAGCGTGTTATTGCCCTCCTGCCTGATTCGGTCGACAAGCTATGGCTTCTTCCTCCTCCTCCTGCACTCACCATGTCTTCTTAAGTTTCAGAGGCGAAGACACTCGTCGCGGTTTCATTTCCCATCTTCATGACGGTCTAACAAGTTCAAAAATCCGTACTTTCATGGACGATGGAGGGATTGAAAAGGGAGAAGATATCTCTGCGTCATTATTGCAAGCAATTGAAAGATCACGAATTGCGTTAGTTACTTTCTCTCCGGACTATGCTTTTTCTAGGTGGTGTCTGGATGAACTGCTGAAAATAATGGAGTGTCGTAGACGTCTAGCTCGGCTGGTTATTTCCATATTCTATGACGTATGTTCATCTGATGTTCGCCATCAGAGAGGCAGATATGGTAAAGCAATGGAACAACATGAACAAAGGTTTGGGAGTGATCAGGTGCTGCCGTGGAAGGAGGCGCTCACGGCAGCCGCCAATATTGCCGGCTTTAGTTCCACAAGATATCAGTAATTTTCCCCACTTACTTATTGCAAAGTAATTGCAGACACGTTGTTGGATTAACCCCTTTAATTTCTATTATGCTTGGACATGTCTGCTCGAAAAAAATTCTTCATTTCCGTGGCTATTTAGGCTTGAAATGAATGAAGGGGGGAAAAAAGAGAATCTCATGAAGAAAAACCTTCAAACTAGTTTTGGGGGGGGGGGGAACCAGCAGCTAATTTTAGTCCATCTCTTACTCTTAATAGTCCATTAAAATTCTTGTGTTTTAAAACAAGTCTTGTTGGTTTATTTCTAATGGTGTCGCTGATTATTATTGTTTCACGGATATTTTATATTGACAGGAATGACAATCAGCTGGTTAAGGAAATTGTTGGGGATGTTTCAAAAAAATTAAGAATGAGATCAACAAAAGCTCTCACCATAGGCCTTTGGGGGATGGGAGGCATTAGCAAAACAAATGTTGCCAGAGCCATTTACAAAATTGGTCATCAGTTTAGAGCAAGTAATATCCTTGCAAATAGAGGAGAAAATAATTCAAAGCATGCTAATGACCAAGTTAACTTGAAAAAGCTACTCAAATCTAATATCACTACAATGCAAATTTTCAGGATACCACCTGACACTGATAGAGGGAAAAGAATAGTTCAGGGAAGATTTCCCAACATAAAACTATAAAAGCATTATATGCATGGGATGATGTGGACAGTGTCGATCAATTAATGAACACTTTATGTGGAAGTAGTCATGAATGGTTTTGTCCTAGTAATCATGACAACTAGAGATCTGAGTTTGCTTGATATCCTTAAAGCTGGATATGTATCTTTCCCTGGCCATGAAGGAAGAGCACAAGATATATTTCCTTCTCTCATTTGGTCTTGGACGTCACTTAGTAATAACAATATTCCCCAACCCCCTATTAAAGAACTTAAGCAAAGCATATCTTCCATATTCTCAGATAGATGAAATAGTGGCGTTCATGGCCTATCTCCATTTCTGGGCTATTTTGTGAAGCTTCGAGGTTTGTGGGAGAGATGCCGACCATCGTTACAACTTCATGGGAAAATGGCAAGACTTTTGAATGCCTTGTATGAGACAAATTTTATGGAATTGGAATCAAATCGGGATCCATCATCTGGGGGCTGCCATGACCAACTTCACATTATTGCAAGGCCACCAGATTCCCCCTTCCATTTCTTTTACTTCAACTAGGAGTGTCTGACAAAGCAGTCTCGCTGAAAGAGAAAATTTCGCAGGTTTGTTTCTTTCGTTTTTAAACCCCATCATGAGCTTTGGGAAATAACCAAAGTACTACCTCCAGTCTTTAATATAAGACTTTATTTAACTTTTATTTTGATCCTAAATATAAAACCCCAATCTACTTTATCTCTTATATTTATATATTTTTTCCCAAAAAAGTCCTTCTAATAATGATAATTCTGGCTAATACACTCGATTAGTAAGGATATTTTAGAAAAGATAACACTTAATCATTACAAATAACTAACTTAACTAAATTTTTTAATCTACTCAAATTAATCAACTAGCTCTTATAATTAGGACCGGAGGTAGTATATTTCAATACTAGTTAGGTTAGGCATAAACACGAACAATTACTTCCATGCTCTAATCCCCCCCCCCTTTTTTGGTCACATTATTAGTTGATTCCCGTGTTGATGCTATATATATAGGGATGGAATTATGTTGGGTGGGATGATTCTTACCTACCTGGTAATCAGTATCCTGATTGGTTCATCTTTAAGGGTGAAGGACGATCAGTAATTTTTAAGGTGTCTCAAGTCGTAGATTGTCAGTTGAAATCGATGCTTCTCAATGTTATGTATTCTTGTTGTATGGATAATACAAGGCCTCAATTGCTCATAAATGTTCTGATCATTAATTACATGAAGGCTACTGTGAAACAGCATAGAGGAGACTGGCAAACTTTCCATGAATATGCAGAATGGCAGAGTATCATTTCAAGCGTTCAACCTGGTGATGTCGTGGAGCTTATTTTAAGTATTGGGTCTCAATTTCCTGTGAAGAAGACTGCAGCTTATCTGATTTATGACGGTTCTAAGCGTGGCAGCTTATGGAAAAAATTGTTGCAAAAACTTATTTCGGTTTGTAATATAGCCCCCTTACTTCTGATGTGCTGTGATTTTTAGAAAGGGAAAATTATAATTATGGACCCTTTCAGGGCAGATAATGAATAAAGTGTATTGAATTTTGAGTTTTTGCTTACAAAAAAAATAACGCTACTGTTTGTTCAGATGGAGAGAAAACTAGGGGAGAAGAAAATGGAGAGATAATATTATCCCTCGTTGTGTTTGAATGGAGGGGCCGAAAAGATAGGGGAGAGAAAATATATGACATTTTCGATAACAATAATACTCTTTTTTAATTGTTAGCTAACTTTGAGAGTAATTTCATAAAAAACCAAACTCAAATATAAAAAGAAAATAACACCATCAAATTAAGAACTAAAGTCAAATCAAAATGAAATTATTATTTGTGTTTTATTTTAAAATCAAGATATCGAGCAAAGTATTTCCTCACATACCAAAATAATAAACGGAAAGTCAAAATGGAAACAAACATGTCACTGAGTGAAAGCTCCCACATTCACATGGATTTCAAGCAGGCGCAACAATAATTTGTTTAAGCTAAGCTTAGCTTAATTATGAGATCCCTACCATATATAACGATATATTTAATTGAACTGAAGTATTAAGTAATTGTGGCTTAGATATCTCGACCAAGCATAAAATTATAGATGATTACACTACTGTTTTGAGTAGTTAATTTGCAAAGAAAGGCTAAACAATGACTGATTTATACTCCCTCTATTTTTTTATAAAATACAAATAATTAAATTATGTAAGTTAAAACGTTAGTTAAAAATGATTAAATGAAATAAGACGTAAAGAGTGTAACTTATTTTTCAAAAGCACACTTATCTATGAAAAAGATACAGTTGAGGATATGTGCTGAACCGACTAGCAAATAAGTCTTTCCAACTTGCACTGCTAAACCCACAACCCACCGTGAGTTAGCCTACCAACTTGCATTTTTTTAATTTTATCAATTATTATAATTGTATTAGTATATTTTATATCCCATATAAAAAAATTTAAAAACTTAAATTATGTTTTCAATCAAGTATTTGAAAGAAAGACAAAAATTTTATTATATTTTATTTATATTATATAAAAAACTTAAAAAACAAATTTTTCTAAAAGTAAATAATAGTTGGCCAACCCGTAAACTCACAATGATCAGCTAAAAAACAGCAAGCTATGACGCAGCTGTTTTTTTAATCAGTATTGCCTAATTCTAACAATGGACCCGTATTACCAACCTTTAAAAAGATGAATGACACAGAATAAGCCCAAAAAGAAAGAGGAAAGTAGAAAGATACGATACACTAAAACTAAATTTGAAAACTAACAGGGGTTGGTCCAAGTGATAAGCGGCTTGGTACCGCTTAAGTGAGGTCTCAAGTTCGAGTCTCAGCTTATGTAGAAATCCCCGTTGGGAGACTCACCCACCACAGCCAGGTGCGCGATGTGGGTCGGATCCAGATGTAGTTAGAGCAAAGCTCCGGTGAACTGGGTGGGCAACCAAAAACAAAAACTAAATTTGAAAAAAAAAACTAAATTTGAAAAGAAAGGATTGTAATTGACTGACTTCTGGCGATGGAAAAAAGTTATAATTGACTGACTCCTTATCTTTATAACGCTCTAAGATCACAAATTGCGTTGGTAATTTTGTCTCCATTTTATACATCTTCCAGAGTGTCTGGATGAACAAGTAAACATAATGAACTGGAAAATTTACGTGAGTTTTAAAAGTGATACTTGCAGCCAAATACTTAATTCTAATATTTTGGACAAATAACTTCTTTTTTTAAAAAGGTGGAAACAATTGTTGGACAAATAACTAATTCTAATGTAATTCTGTAATTCTGTGCTAAATATGAGCAGATGAGGGTCCAATTCAAAATATATGTGGAGTTAAAGACTAAATATTAACGGAACAGTTTCAATGCCTGTTATCTTGATGAGTATTCTAAACTCATTAAATCTGAACTATTTATATTTGACTTAAATGGTTCAGATTTAAAAGTTTTAATTATTTATTTTTAAATAGGAAAAAAATATTTTTTGAAAGAATTAAAGTTAAGAGATTATCTCTATTTTAGATTCTATACATATTAAAATAATTATTTTGAATAAATAAAAATAAAAAGAAAATCAAATCTAGATTATTTAAATGAGATATAAACATTTTAGATTTGAAGAGCTTAGAATACTCATCAAAATGAAGTGATGAATACTAAAACTAGTTCCGAATATAAAGAAAGCTCCAGTAGCCTCCTTGTGCCATGGCCTTCTTTTGAAGCCTTGTCCTCTTCGGTTCTGACTATTAATGCCCACTCCTTCATCCAACGCTTGAAAGTTTTCCTATGACGCATATACATATTTAATAGCCAAATTGGTCCATCTCTTATTCTTCAGGGTCTGCTAAAATTCTTCTGTTTAAAAGTAAGTCTCGTCGGTTTTATTTCTGATAATGATGCTATTTATATGGCTGATTATATTGTTTCACGGGTATTTATTATTGAGCGTATTGTTGAGCAGATTTTATGAAGAGTAGATGCTAGATAATTATTTGTTGGTGAGCATCTGATGAGAATAGAATCTCGAGTTAAGAAACTGGCAAGTAAATTGTCAAAAAATAAAAATAAAAAAACCTCTTATCATAAGCCTCTAAGGGTTGGGAGGCATTGGTAAAACTACTGTTGCCAAAGGCCTTTACAACAAAATTGGTCGTGAGTTCATAAGAGCAAGAAGTTTTCTTACAAATATAAGAGAAAATTCAAAACATTCTAATGACCTAGTTAATTTGCAAAAGTAACTCATTTCTGATATCATTGAACCAGAAGTTTTCAAGATACCTAGCAATTGATAGAGAGAAAAAGATTCTTCAGGAAAGATTTCCCAACATAAAAGTATTTGTTGTATTGAATCATGTGGATAGTGTCAATCAACTTAACGTATTATGTGGGAGTCTTGAATGGTTTTGTGCTGGGAATATAATAGCCATAACTATAAAATGTTGACTTTTCGCTGAAGATTTCTGCACAGATTTAATTTACCAAAAAGACAGATCGAACCAGCCACTAAAATTTGAGTTTCGCATATTTATGTATTCATTTTATATTGATTTTCTATCCTTGAGCAAGTCATTATCAAGTGTTGAAGTGTTGCATAGTAACATGAAAGTAGTAGACATGATCCGAAATAATCACAAGTCCTCATCTAATTATTCTATAATTATTTGTTTTATATAGGATGATTACATGAGGCAAAAGGCATCGATGAATTCTGATACAACTTCTCAAAGTCTGCAATCAAATGATCTTGAAGAAATTAATATATGGTTTGAGGTTAGTGGTGGTAAGAACATGAAGGGCCCCATGTATGGGTTAGGATTTGAGGGTAAAGATATTGACTCTTCCTCTCACATGTCTTCTTCTTCCATCAACAACACAAGACTCCATCCAGAATTTGAGTCCGAATTGCAAATTAGGGTACAAGAGCTTAGATAAGAAAATCAAGAGATTATCCAACAGAATTGGGAGATTCTCTAGAAGAATCAAGAGATTCGTCAGGAGAATTAAAATCCTAAACATACAATCTTGTCAAAGCTGAAGGAACTTGAGAATAAAATATCTGAGCCATTTGACCAAAAAAGTGCAAGTAATGACTGTTGAAATACTAGTTGTATCTATGTTATATTTCTAGAACAGACTTCTAATATTTCTTTTTTCAGTTGTTATATTTGTTAAAATTTAGACATTTTATTGTACTTCATATTATTTCTAATTGCATGTTGCCTTTTATAAAAAAATTTGATTTGATTAGCATTTCAAAAATTTATTCCTATCCTTGTAAATTATTTATAGAAAGCTAGAGAAAATTTTTTTTGACATATTTTGCGATGGAATTTTTGTCACAAATCCTTTCATGTATAAGCTAAAAAAATTTAAAAGAAAAATACATTTTGTGACGGAAGCTTGCCACTGAATATTCTGTTTCTGTTGCTAATTTGTCTCAAAATTGAAATGCATTACTCCAGATATTTGCGATGGAATAACTGATTCGGGACGGAATATTCCATCACAAATTAGCGAACGAATTTCTGTCACCAATTTCGTGACTAAATTTGTGATGGAATATCAAATTCCATCATAAATGGATTTGAGATAGAAGGTTTAGCATGTTGCTAATTCCATCGCTAATATTTTTGTGACAAAATTCTATTGCTAAGTTTCGTCATAAATCACTTTAGCCAGGAAATTGTCTGTTTTTTGTAGTGCATTTTGCAGTTAACACATCTTAATTCTAAATTAAGTTTCTGTTTCTATAACTCATTTACAATATTAAAGGAGGAATATTAAATATTAAAACTAACCCACCATTGCCTCCTTGATTGATTTCTCAACTTTGCAATATAGATACCAAGTTTTCCTCAATATATGAAAATGAAAAAAAAAAATCTTGATGTCTCTAAGTTTCTAATAAAAGAGGTGTTAGAGTCATTTCATAAAATTTTAAAAACTCTCATTAAGGCTTTAACAAATTCAACAACCCAAATAAGAGATTTTAAGAGATTTTTCCAAGTTAAAAATAATTACAAGCAATAGATGAGCAAAATAATGAAAGAGAATGTATGATGATTGAGGGGGTTTTGGCTTACTCCATAAGTACTTTTCAGAAGTACTTTTCTGCAAATCGAGGTAAACTCCTCTACATATTTACTTCGTATACCGTAAAAACACT